TATATATATATATATATATATATATATATGTGTATATATATATAAAACCAGACACGTAAGATCTAATAACAGTCACAATGTAATGAATACATGTACATTAAATGTACATCATCAATTTAGCACTTTTGTATTATTCTGGTCAATTAACACATTAATTTCATTGTGATGGATTGTATAATATGTTATATTACATGATTTAGAGACTTTATTGACTTCAAAATAAGTATGAAATGAGATGTGCCTATTTTTTTTTTTTTATTATAAGTTAAATCTACTGGTGCTATGAAACAGCCAGCGTGTCAAAGTGATGAATTTATCTTTATTTTAAGAGTATTAAGTCACCCTGAAAATGAGAACATCATTGTTGTTTGATGCCGTAGTGCATGTATTGTTCAATTGTGACCAGTCTAAATAGGGAGTACCAATATGGTGGCCGGTAGCCTCCCTTCAACCCCGTACTACCAACAGGCAATCAGTAATCCAGTGAATAAATAGAGATCAGTGAAGTAGAGGTTAAAATGAGCATCTCTGATAATCTGAATTATAAATAATTTTTTAAAAACATGAATCAATGTGGGAATATCTTCTACTATAATCTCTGCTCAGCTGAATCTATTATAAACTAATTTGATTTGAACGCCCAAACTCTGGGATTATTCAACTCTTTGAAGTGAAGCATGAGGCCTTGTGGGAACTTAACCTGCAGACGTCAGTCAGTAATCTGATCCACAAAGGAAACAGTCTAGTTAATAATAATCCAGTTCTGTTAGGAGAACTTCCTCACTTATGACCCCCCCATCAGCCCCGTTTACAGGCTGAAGGTCCTACGCAGCCGGTCTACACAGATGACCTGCTGTTCTGTCTTGAATGTTGTCTCTCCTCCATTTTATGCCAGTGATGATGTTGCATGAACTCATGACCCCGCTGTGACTCTTCACTCGATGTTCCTCCATCAGTCCTCAGTCTGACTCTGAAGGAGGAAAATAACCGTCTTGTTCTTACGCTGCAGGTAAAGATGACGAGTTTCCTAAGAAGCCGCTGGGGCAGCTTCCTCCAGAGGTCGCAGCGCCTGTACCGAACCACGTAGGCAACGGTCAAAGCCACGCCAAGCCCGTCGAGCCGCCAAGAGACTCCGGAACTGGACCAGAGCGGCCGCAGGAGAGCCTGCCCCAAAGCCGGGCCCGCAGGGACTCCATGGAGAGGCCGCACCGACACCACCGGATGGAAAAAGGGGACGGCCACGTCAGGAGGTCCAATGAGGCTCTGAGTGAGCAACAGAAACCATCCGCCTCCACCACCCCAGAGAGAGGGCCAGCTCCTCCATCAACACCCCAGTTCACCTCGGTGGACAGCCGCAGTCCTCACGCTGCCACCAACCACAACTCAAACCCCGCCTCCGGTTCCCGCCAGATCTTCGGCCCCCGGTGGGTCAAACCCTCTGAGACCAAGCTAGAAGCGGCGAAGGCGGCAGCGGCGACGCAGCACAGCCGAGGGCCGTCGCCAGCTCCTTCCAGTCCAAACGATGGCGTCCAAACTCAGCGGCGTCCTCGCTCCAAGGGATTCCTCCCGGGTGTTGATCGAGGCTCCAATGCCTCCCAGTATGACAATGTTCCAGGACTCCCAGAACCCGACTTTGAGATTCTGGAGCTGGAGAAGCCTCCATCCAGGATGAGGCCCCCCCACCAGGGCAGCCCGGCTCATGGACCAAGCCATGGCGGCAACATGGTCTCCCCGGGTCCCAGGATGGTCAAGCATGTTCAGCCCCCCCACGCCTCCCACCTGGGGCCACCGGCCGGCTACTCGGGGGCCCAGGGTCGGTTCAACGCCCCACCGCAGCAGCTGTCTCCAAGAAGAACTACGACTGAGGTTCCCATCCTGCACCCAAGCTACAGCGTGAGTCTGGACCCCAGAGGGGAGGGCCCGCACTATGGACCCCCCAGGGTTAATTCCCCCCCCAGCACGCCGTACAGGGAGCTGTCCTATGCAACCACCCACCGCCAGCGCAGCAACCACTCCCCTGAGAAAGTGCTGCTAAATAACTCGTTCGCCACGTACCGCAGGCCGCCCCCCGCCGGGTCCACCCGACCCCCCCCAGACTCCACCCCCCTCTACCTGCAGCAGCTGACGTCCGCCACACAGATCCAAACGTCCCTGGACTACTATCAGACAGGTGAGGTAAATGCCCCCTACCTGCGAGGAGGCCGGCCTCAGCCGATCGTAGACGGCCTCCAGTGGGAGCTGGAGGAAGAGCGCCCCCTTCAGTCCCCCGGGGGGATGCATCGCTCCCCCAGCTTCCAACAAGCCCAGATGTCTCCTATTCACGACTTCCCCTTCCCCCCCAACGTTGAGGCTCTGCCTCACTACAGGACGCAGTTCCAGGAGGGGCAACAGCTCCCCCAGCTGTTTGGTGGACCACACTACAGGCACGCGCAGGAGGCTTTCGCCATGCAGGAGTCCATGCTGCTGTGATGCAACGCTGACACTGGAACACGCCGAGGCGTAGTCACCGACACTGTGCTAGAGACGAGCAGAACCGGAACCGGGTTCGGGTTCTGCTCGTGTGAAGCTCTGAACTTTAAAAGACACAGCAGCCTCTGAGGTTTCTACTGATCGCTTTAAAAAAAAAAACTGACTGAAGATGTAATTTTATTTTTGGATGTAATTCATGAACAGAGGTTACAGTTTGAATATATAAACAGTTTATCTTTTAGAGTCTGATGATGTACAGCAGAGGTTTAATCTAAGGTTAGGAGCCGGGGGGCGGGGGGGAGATCAAACTGACTTATTTTCCATGTTTGTTGGTTTTTATCTTGAATTCAGGTATTTACACCAGAGATCAATCCACTCTGGATGAATCATTTTAAAAAGTACATCACTGAATGCTTTTAATGTGAACTTTGAGATTCATTTCAAATACGTCCCTGTTCGTTTTTATCTTTCATTCCTAATTAACGCCGAAGATCTCTGCGTTTTTTTCCACTTGAATCATAAATACGGATTAACCAGAGGGCTACACTGTAATAAATCTATAATTAAATCCACTAAACCGCTGCTGTTTGTAAAAGTGATATCTACTGGAGCGTGTGCAGAGCGTGACCTGGAACACACACTACATGTAACACGTATGTCATGCATTTCAAAGATCAACCCAACACATTCCATTCATTATTCTTTACTCTCTAAATGCTCTCAAACAGACAGTTATTCAGCTTTTTGTTAAACTGCAGGTTCTTCTCACACGTTGTTTAATAAAACCAGGTGGGTGAAAAACTTTCAATGTTTTGGTCTTTTTTTATGAATTAACTTTTTTACTTCTAACTTCAAACATTAATTCTCCACAAATCTCGTAATTATGGATTCAATGGTGCATGCTTTTAGTTCTTTCTAAAATTCAATTCAGTTTATTTCCATAGAGCCAGTTCACAACACGTCATCTCAAGGAACTTTACAGTTCACCAGATCATCCAGTCAGATTGAAGTTTTCTATCTAAGGAAAACCAGTTGATTGCATCGACTCATTGACTCGAAGGCCATACTTCACACTAAGCATACTTGTAGCGACAGTGGAGAGGAAAAACTTCCTTTTAACAGGAAGAAACCTCCAGCAGAACCAGGCTCAGTGTGAGCGGCCATCTGCTGAGGCTGACTGGGGTTCAAGGAGACAGAAGCAGAGATACAGAAACATGGAGTCACATCCGACCAGGAACAGATGCGATGAAGCTACAATGGGGAAAAAGTGGAGAGAGCATAAGATTAGAGATTGGACTAAAAGATTCCACAGAGTGGGAGAGTAGCGATAGAAAGAAGCAAATTAAAATTATGAAATGGGGGTCCCTATGTCCTCCAGCAGTCTAAGCCTATAGCAGCATAACTATAGAGATAGCTCAGGATAACCTGAGCCACTCTAACTATAACCTTTATCAAAAAGGAAAGTTTTATGCCTGCCTTTAAATGTAGACAGGGTGTCCAACAGATACAGATATGGCACTGCTACACAGCACTATCTGCCAGAATGGCGATATAAAGGTAGCCCATTTTCCTAGCCAGTGTTGCCAACTCCTCAGTAAGGAAAATAGCTATTGGCTGTGCTAAAAGTCGCTAGAAGTTGCTAAATGACGTCATTGCCTAATTTGCATAATCTGCCACAGGAAGTGATGTGCATGTTATTGATGCTGTGGGAGAAATAATGTCGTTACAGAATGACAAAAAGTGAGTAAAAACACTATAATAGCATGCGCGCTTCATTTGCAGTCTGGACGCTGAGGGTAAACATCCTGCGGCTCTGACTGCAGCGCTAAGAGGGACTCCTGTGGGAGCTGGAGAACAGGGTTGGGATCGGGGAGGCGCCCCACGGCAGCAGCTGCCGCTGGAGGACGAGTTGGAATGTTACATGCTTTTACGTCGCCAAAAGCCGCCAGTGATGCCGTAAAAAGTCGCCAGATTTGTTGCTAGTCGCTTTTTTGAAAAATAGTCGCTGGAGGGGTCTGAAAAGTCGCTAAATATAGCGACAAAGTCGCTGAGTTGGCAACACTGTTCCTAGCCTAGTAAACTAGCCCCACCCACCAGCGGCCAAAATAATTTTTGCCTGTGAGTGGTCTAGCTTCGATCAATGCCCCAGACCCTAGAACTGGCGGGCCAATAGCAACGCAGAGATGTGTTTCGAATTTTTGGATGCAAAGTGGGCGGGGTTTTGAGGGCGTGACGACAAAGCGCAAAAAGGGATATGGCAACAACTATTGAACAGTAGCATGCATCGCTGCAGCAGTAGCTTTCAATGGAGCGCTCCATTGAAAGTTAAAAATTTCCGTTGCTGTTGTTCAATAAATGTATGTTTCAAGATCATTTGAGGAGAGAATATTATACTTTAAAGCGTCACTATATGGTCCATTTACCGATTTAATGCGTAGTTAAAAAAACAATTTCCGAAGTTGAGAGGACAACGGCAACCAGCGGACACCGGAGGGTAAGAAGTTTTAACTTAATACTACTGGAAACTGCTGCAGTGCATGCTGGGACAGCTGTCAATCTCAAGAACGGACAAGTCTGCTCTGATGCATGCTGGGTGTAGAGGGAGGGATGACAACAGCATCCGGGGACTTTGTCCGTTCTCGGTCTGCTGTTCTTGTGAATAGCCAACATCTGGAAGAAGAATGTTTTCAAGATGACTTGGATAATAGCGCGTTGTGACAAACACCGGATACAGCACTGGGACTTGATCAACAGCCGATACCGCACCGTGACGTCACAAACCAGTAGGTGGCAGTAGTGTTCTTAGACAAACATGGATGCCTCCAGTAAAGCACATTGAAATGAAAATTACTCTTAATCAAAAACACTTATATAATGATATGTAATCATTTCATTTAAATTACTTTCAGAAGTTTGTATTCTGAATATGACCGGACTTTTAAAGAGGGCAGGGAAACACTGCCCCCTGCTGGTCTGACAAAAGGGGCAGAGATTGGTCAGAATGTAAAGTCTAGTTCATGCTTGAGGCTTTCAGAAGGTCAAACCATCTCTCTGTGCGGCGGCAGTGCAGACAGAATTTCCGCACTGCAAACACAGGAAATTTTGCGACAGATCTTCGTGGTGAAAACTTGGCAAAGGAGCATCAGCTTTCCTGGCGAGGGTTTGCAAAGGTAGACATCTCAAGATTCTGGGATTTCTGCCCATGAATATCTCCACCATCAACAGATTGTTGAAAAACTCCTTGAAAGAAATGAATATTTTTCCACGTGAATATCGGTTATAAGCTGCCATTTTTCTTTTTATCTTGAATATTTTTATTTACCTACCTTACCTATTACATTTTTCTAAAATCTGTACTTTCTCAGTTTTATTTTTTCCTTTTTTTGTGGTCTATTCATAACTTCTTCTTTTTTTTTAGACTATCCCTTTAGGTTTCTGGATCCTCCTTCTGGGTCACAATGATTTCATCTCTCTTTACCATTGTGGTTATAGAAGTTTTTAGTTTAAACATGTTTTAAATATTTACTATTTAAATTTAAAAAAAAGACACCAGCTCTTAACTGACTTAATGTTTTGTTGTTGAGGTTTCTCATCAAAAATCGGTGGATTGAATGTTTTAATACTAAAGATATTAAACTACGCATCACAAAACAGTCAAAACCACTGGAACAGATTTTTAAATTTTGGTTTCATTAATTATTCCTTCTTTTTTAAATCCAGAAAAAAACAAAGAAATAGGCAGAGCTTTGGTTTTAACTTTGTTTGTGATTTTATTATTATTGATTCAAAAAATCTAAAACATGTGGTTAGTTATTCTTATTCAGAAAAAAAGAAGAATTTTCAGAATTCCTATTTTTCTGTATTTCTCTCCATACAGTAACAATAATCTCACCAAGAAAATCATCTTTGCAAAGACCTTTAATTCTGAATTAAAGAATAATTTACAATACTTACAGGAACAGCGGCAAAAAGCTGAACAAACAAATGGGAAAGATAAAGTAAAAATATGTATAATTACAGATATGATCAGTGTCCATCATGACTTTATCTGATATCGTCCTAATGTCGCCGATGCATTGAGGATGAAACTGATGGTCTTTAAATGAGAAGGGGAGGGGCGTAGTGACCCTCCAGATGATGGTTTTATTGTTTAACTTCCCCTTTTATAAACTTAAAAACAACCTGAGGTGAATGATTGCTAAAAAAAAGTTGTTTTCTATCCAGACATGGATCCAGGTGGGCATTTAGTGATGAACTCAGTGTGAGTTGACCACTGATGGAAAGCTGCCTGCTATGCTGATGCTAACATCTATGACATGAACGTTGGTGGAAGGAAGACATTTAATGAGGAAATCTGGAAGGAATTCTAGCTCCGCTGGGTTCCCACTGTCGCTGGAAAAAAGAAACCGCCCCTTTATGGGAACCTAAATAAGTGTCTTAAAGGAAAAGTCCGGTTATATTCATAATTCAAACTTCTGAAAGTGCTTTAAGTATGAAATTATTCCATCCTGTTCAATAAATGATCAGTAATTTTCATTTCAATGTGCTTTACTGGAGGCATCCATGTTTGTCAAAGAACACTACTGCCACCTACTGGTTTGTGACGTCACGGTGCGGTATCGGCTGTTGATCAAGTCCCAGTGCTGTATCTGGTGTTTGTCACAACGCGCTATTATCCAAGTCATCTTGCAAACGTTCTTCTTCCATATGACGTGTTTTTTCTCTGGCCAGAAGTTCGATGCTAAATCCTCC